CCAGGGAAACCACAACTGGAATCCCCCACATTAGGACTAAATCTTGGAAGTTTCATCCCTCAGTTTCTGAACAATAATTAAATAATTAATAAAATATTACAAAAGTTCTTGTCCAAATTGTCCAGTCCAGATAAAAAGGGGGATAGGCCATGCAAAGAGCCTGAGGGGAGATTCCCACTCACATCCAGGTAAGAGCTGGATCATTCCTGGCAATAACTCAGGATTTACCTGTCCATGGGTGTCTCCTGCAGACTTTCCAGCCTCAAACTTTAAAGCTAGACCGAAATCAGCAATACAAGCCGTGAGGTTGTTTTTCAGCAGCACGTTCTTGCTTTTGATGTCCCTTGCAAGTTCAAGAAAAAAACACAAATTAGAGATCTAGAACATGAAATACAGAATGAACTAAGGAAAAGGGAAGAGCATAAAACCAGGAACATTATGGTATGAAAGGCAAAAAAATTATAAAGAAAGAGATAAGTTACACAAAAAATAATAATAATAAAACCTCGGAGTGCCCTTGTAGACTTTTATGGGAATAAATGAGACAGTAATGGGAACTGTAATTTTGTGCTTGTTTTTAAAATAAATACAGGTGTATGATGGATGTAGGGATATATGGAGATAGGGATGATGCATGTGGGATAGAGATGGAATGAGGATGTTGCAATCCAAGTGTGCAGCAACTGCAACTTTGTTTAAATAGCAGGAAACAAAATGGAAACAGAACAAAATGGAAAAAATGTGCCTTGGAGGGGAGATGCAGGGATCCTGCAGGATTGCCATGTCCTGCAGGGCAGTACCTGTGGGAGATGGCTGGCTTGTGGCCGTCCTTGAGCCCCGGGATGTCCTCGTGCAGGTAGGCCAGGCCCCGCGCCATGGTCTGGGCAATGTGGCACAGCTCGTTCCACGACACCACGTTGGCCTTCAGGAAATCGGTCAGGGAGCCCTGCAGCAAACAGGCACACAGCCAGCTCAGCCTCACTGCTCCAGGGAACACCTGCAATGCCTGCAATTCACCTCTGTAGGACCTCTGTCCTTCCTTATGGACCTACAGCAGGTTCGGAGTGAAATGCTCTGAATAATCAGAGATGAAATCATTCGACACCACAGTTTCGGAGTGAAACTGAACAAATCTAAAGAGATTTGCACAGTGAAACACTCTGAACAAATCTAAAGAAATCAAAATGATCCAACATAAAATGGAATGTGTTCTTAATTGTATTTGTGTTTCTTCCTTTTGCTGTCACAATAGAATCGATCTGTATCACTTCATCTTTATTCTTATCAACCAACAAGTGAAGCAAAAATAACCCCCCAAAAAATCTCTGCAAGATGGGAGGTTATGTATTTTAGGCAGGTTTAGAGTGGGGATGTTAAAATAGACATCTTCTAAAAAGCCAAAAAAAGGCAGAATCAATTTTTGTTTGTCTCCTAAAACAACTCCTCTGTCAGTAAAACCCGATGCCAACTTTCTCAGCTGCCTGAGAACCAACTGCAGTGAATTCCCACCCAGTGCAAAGCTGTCGGATCTCAGGATCTCAGTCCTGAGGTGCTGAGCCACCGAGACCACCTTGGGGGGCTCGGGAGTCCTGGAATGTTCCAGAAGTGTCTGGTGGCTG